TTCTCCAAATAATAGTACATAAGGAAAATTGACGGTAAAAATAATTATAAGAATCTCTAAATTAAATTTCCTTTCATCTCAATATCAATAGGATAAGAAAATTTGATTAATCTTATAAAAAAAATTGATTTCTTAAGTTCAACTTTAAGACTAATTATATATTATCCTCATCTAATTAGCTACGTTTAGTATTTCAATCCTTACATTTTTAAAAGTTATATTGAGATCCCTATACTTACAAAAAAAGTAAAATATTTAACTTTTTTTCTCCTTACATCGTTTGATGAAAATATCACATATGCTCAGTGCTAAATCAAAATGAGATAGAGTCCGTGTTTAGTGATAAATCTTATGCTATTTTCATCAGCAAAATTGATAACATGAGAAAAAATAAAATAAAATATTTCACTTTCATAAATATTGATTCTAATATAACTAGCCTCCTAATATTAGTTGCAACCGCAGTGGAATGGTCCTTTTCATGGCATTCTTTTTTGATAATTAAGAAAAATCAAATCAATAGAACTATAAATCTCAAAAGTGGCGAGGATAAATGCGACTCATTCTGCCAAACTACGGTAGGGTCTAAGTCTCGCCACTGCCTTCCTCAACTCCTGTTAACCATCGACCTTTATCTCGAGGAATGAGACATTTCTCTTGTGGAGGGAGACACGCCTTCGGTCCTCCTTTCCCTTGTCTCTCATCGCCCCCGCCAATCCATTTTGGACCCTTTCATGGAGGACTTCCGACAACAACATGCACAGAAGACAAGCTAGCTTTGGATCCACATCCCGACTCTTATACCACAGCATTGCACTGCTCGGACGCAACCGAGTGCTGCTGCAGGTATGGAAGTTGGACCACGAGAACTGGATCACATGTTCCCAGTGACTTCAGCGTGTGGTGAGCTGCACTTGCGATGTTTCCATCGATCACGGAGTGCATGGATTTTGTGGTGTGGCCAAGGAGATCTGACAAGCAATCTATCTGCCGAGAGGTCTGGGTGGGTTCTACAACATAACAAATACTATTCAGATGGCTGTAGATGAGATCTTTATCATGTGTTGTCTCTTTGAAATCATGAACTGATATTGGTGTTTATGTATCTCATTAATCAATGAAAATGGCATAGCTTGCTTGTAAGACAAAAAGGATCAGAGTTCAAACAGACACAGACTCTTCCATGACATGAGAATAGGGCAGTCTTCTTGTTTAAGATCACAACTAATATGCCACCATATTAGACTTGGAAATGGCGCCTTGGAATATCTATGAGAGTTGTTCTCTGTGAACTCTATGAACTCAAAGATATCACATTCGATCTTCGCATTGTGAAACGAGAGGCAGAGAAGAAGTTGAGGTTGAAGTCTTCAGGCCCGAGGCAAGAATTTGGCCCAAAACCATATGAGGCCTGTGCGATTGCCAGCGTAAAAGCCTCGACAAAAAAGAGCGAAGTGATAGAAGCTTCTGCAAATGGTTTGCCAAAGCTTTCGACAATGGCAGCGAGCTAACCCTGTCTTCTCTGCATCTTCCAAGAGAGACCATTTTTGAGTTGCCTCAAGGAAGGAACTGCTCTCGGATGCAAGAAGATGTCAATTTTACGGTGCAATTGGAAATGCATTATGCTCTGTCAAAGAGTTGAACTTATAGTTTGGATTTTGTTGATCCTCTCAATCATGGCATCATGTCTGATGGATCCGAAACGTCGAATCGACGTGACAAAACGAAGGTGGAATCACGCACAACCACTGAGCACGGCTTGTGATCTTGTTCTCCCATATGAGCAAAAAGAACAAAGGGAAGAGCAAAAAATTCAAGGAGCACAAACAAGTAGGGCACGTATATGTCGCGGCCATTTATTCTGCAGACTGAAAGCTTGTGCTTTGTGTAAGAGGAGTCATTGCTGAGCATGAACCGAGAGTAAGATCGCGTCAAGCACGGTGAAAGATATAAGACCTCGAAAGCAGGCAGGGTGATGGTTGAACATTCAACAGAGATTTGCCAGTGGCATCTAATTAGATGAACAGATCCAAGACAACATGTCGTGATCGCTTGCTGCGTGTATCTGTAACCTGATTCATAGGGTTAATTGATGCAGGTCAAAGAAATGATCATGCTAATCTTTTCAAGAGAGAGAGAGAGAGAGAGAGAGAGAGAGAGAGAGAGAGAGAGAGAGAGAGCTTGTGCGTGCAGACAAGCATGCAACACTTGGTTTTGGTACTTGTGATAAGTCATGAAACGAGCATGACACACAACCAATGCTACAGCCATCGTAGGCTCAGTCCTTGCAAGTGAGTAAATGGATCTGATGTTTCTTTGGCAACAGTATACCACCAGCAACATAGTCACTGCAGGAGTTTTGGCTCTTCCTCGATGCTTTCATTGCCTTTGGGTTGTCTCTCTTTTTTTCTACTGAGCTAAACATACGTACAGGAGCAGTAATCTGGTGGCTATACTTTTCCTCATCACCCCTCCCCTTCGAGGGGGGTAAGCTTCATGTTGAGAGGGAGGCGGAGTCGGGCAACCATCTGTCTCTCTCTAGCTCAACATCATGTGGGGTTGGGAGGGGTTATTAATGTAGAGAGAGAGACTCCCACCCACTCATTCATTCAATCATAACCTTTCCACCACCACCTCGTCCCTCCTCCTCAACCCTTCCCACAGAGTCACCTCTCCAGCACCACTCACACAGACTGTTGCCCCCACCCACACCACCCCTTTGTTTCTGTATCCAACTATACGAAACAAAACAGCAAAGCCAAGGGGGAAGAGGAAAGGGGAGCTTTTCATCTCACGTCCTTCACCTATAAATTCACGCTGCTTTCTTCTTCCTCCTCTTCTTCTTCCTCCTCCTCCTTGGCATATGCGGACAGACCCTTCGCAACCCGAAAATGTCGGCCCAGATCGTTCCTGAGCACGTTTGCTACATCCACTGCAACTTCTGCAACACCATCCTCGCGGTATTGTCCACGCTCTCTCTCTCTCTCTCTCTCATCTCTCTCTCCCCGCCATATCATATAATTAGGAATCAACAGGGCTGAAGTGGTTTTGTTGGAAATCCTAGCGCTCATCTTATAAACCTAACCCACCTCCAGAGATGAATCTCCATAATCATGTAGAGACCTATACGATCAAAGCAGTTGTGTTGTATGATACATCAATTGCATCGAAAATGTTTTCCTACGCTTTTGCTGCTTTCCTTGGCAGGATGCAGCTTGTCTTTCTTGTTTCTTGAAGTGATATGAAGTAACGCTGAATGATCATCTTTTAGAAAGATCTCATACCGACGACTTAATTCAGCGCATGCATGTATGCCACGCTTCTACCCTTACTTGCATTGGTGTAATCACCGAAGGAATTCCTTCAACCAATTTTTTCCTGTGGATTTTTCGGTCGATGCTCGGACTTGTTTTAGCATTCGAAGATCTTTTGGCGACCAACTTCCCAAAGCTCTTTGCTCGCTCATCTTCCATCATAGGAAAGATGAATTGATCGATTCATCCATGATCAAATTATCCTTTTGTTCTCAAGAAAGAAAACAAAGACCACCCTCCTTTCCGTCATGGATTCTTCTACTAGATCTTCTTCTTCTTCCCAGCTATGAAAGTTTCCTCAAGAACAATTTGATGTTTCTCTCGACATGCTAATATTTGCAGTTTCTTGCCCACTCCCATCTCCATTTGATTTATCATCTGCTTCTCCACCTACCGAAAGCAATTCTCTTTTCCTTTGGGTTTCGTTTGCATACACCAAAGTATCCCCCTTCTCTCTCTCTCTCTACTGTGCTTTTGGGGGATGTAAAAACCATGTCATTTTCCTGTCTTGATGAGTCATGGCTTCTTACTGCTTGCTTTCACTAATTCTGAAGCAGTCAGAGGAAGGGTCAGGAGTGTGAATAAAGTGGGGAAATGGCATGACGCTTTCAACTCAAGCAGATGCCACTGGCGCAAGCAGCCTTTCTTTCTCTGGTGTTCCTCCTCCTCTTCAAATCTGAGGCCCATCTTGTTCCTCACTTTACTTCATTTTGCATTCCGGAACTGCGTAGGGGCTGCTACCTCCACCATTCGCATAAGACTCTGAAGCCCCTCCAGGTTATGAACCCATAAGGGCGAACATTGGGAAAGCAATTCCAAAACCATGCGAAAAGCGAGTCCAGCTTTTACTGTACAAGAGAAGAACCGGTCGCATCTTCGATCACCGGCGCTTGCTTATCTCTCCTCTCGACGTGCTTCTTCTTCTTCTTCTTCTTCTTCTTCTTCTTCTTCTTCTTCTCTTCCTTCTCAAGTACTCGATGCTCGATCCAACTTCTTCAACTCCCAACACTTCCTCGTGCCAATTACCACAATCTCTAGTGAGTCACGATGCTTATACTCCAGTAGATTTAGATCCGTGGTGTTACAGTCTTCTCGCTCCCTAAACTGCATGGATTTCACCATGGTAGAATGGTGATGCTTCAAGTACGATGCCAAAAGTACTTGCACTCAGAGTCTTGAGATCCACCATAAACAACTGATGCTTTCCAAGTTTAAATGATGATGAAGCTTGAAACCGACTTTGATGTCTTGTTGACGCAGGTTAGCGTTCCCGGAAACAGCATGTTCAACGTCGTGACAGTCCGGTGCGGGCATTGCGCCAATCTGCTGTCGGTCAACATGGGAGCCTTGCTTCAAGCTTTCCCTATTCAAGATTTCCAGGTTTTCATGTCTTTCACCCACTGCCATGGTCTCTTTATAATCATGTCTTGAAGAAAATGAGAGCAAGAGAGATGCAGAGAGAGATTGGAATGTAGACAAGAGAATGGCATGAAAACATGAGATGATCTTCTTCTATCAGAGAAGAAAAAAGAGAGTCTCCATTAGACTTTAGCCACTAGAAATTAATGTTTGGAAAAATTGCAGGCGCATAATTTTGGATCTCAAAGCAACAGGCTAGAGATTGGATCATCTTCCAGATGTAACAGGTCTTCATTGTACTCCATGAAGGATGAACAGCAGCAAATTGTAGCCTTACGTCGTAAGCCTCTCTCCATGTTTCTCTCCATTTTCTGATGCTACGATCAAGAGGAAACAGAACTGCAAAATGCTAATTAACCAAAAAAAAAATGAAAATATTCATTTAAAAGAAAATATGTTGTGACTTTCTATATTTTTGAAGGCATTGCAATGTATAAGCTTCATTACACCACAGAATTGGAAAATCAGAGTGACTTATTGAAATAAATGTTACATATTTTTTTGTACATGACAACAAGAAAATAAATAAATGCTATTGTAGAGTGTTTTGTTGTTTTTTTGGTGTGGTAAAATACCTATTAGCTTATGAATCCTTCTATGCTTAATTGGTCATACACACCATACCAATTGGGAATTTTCCCTTTTCACTTTCTCTTTTTACCCTTCTGATCTTAAAGTTCTGTAAAGTGAGCTGAGAATATAATTAAATTCCAACCCATGCTAAATGGAGACTTGCAAAGAATATTTGTGAACAAAACCCAATGTCACACAACAATGATGATATACATTAAGATTGTGATATAAAATGGGCTTCTGGAAGCAGCAAACATAAACATTTTTTTTGTTCCATTAAATATATTGAAATATGAGTATTCTTTTCCATTGAATTTATCATTCAACAAATCATCGTTTCATTATTTGAACTTGCAAAGGAAATGTTCTCTTTTTTCTTTTTGTTTCTAATAACTGAATTAAGTGAAAAAAATGCTTCCATATAGATTAGCAAGTGCTGAACAAATAATTATGATTAACCTATTGATTGTTTTTTGTTTTGGTTTACTGTTGTTAATAGCCCCAGAGAAGAGGCAACGCGTTCCTTCCGCCTACAACAGGTTTATCAGGTCAGGTTCTAATTAATATACATGTTTGTTTGATGAACATCTTACAATAATGTCATCAGAATTAACACATGCATGCTCACATAAAAATGAATCAGAAAGAGGAAGATGTGCAAGAAATTGGAGAAGGATTACTACTCATACCTATTACCTTGACACCAAAGAAGAGTTTGACCTAATTCTATCTTTGTTGATCCTACTTTGACATTAGAAATATATTTGTTTGTTCCCCGAAAACCTAATACTTTTGTTTCTGTAAATTTCTTCCCTACGAATTCGAGTATCGATGAGAATTCTAGTTATTTCTGGAGTGTCAATGTAAACCTATGTACTTACATTACATAGTTTGTTTAGACCAACTATTTTGTTTGGACAGGGAGGAGATACAAAGGATAAAAGCTAACAATCCTGATATTAGCCACAAGGAAGCCTTCAGCGCTGCAGCGAAGAATGTAAGTATTACTAACCAAGTTGCATTAAAGTAGAAATGAAGATGTATTTAGCTGGAATTGTGGTCATTGCCATCACAAGCATGATTGGTTCAAGCTGGAAATGAAGATATATTTCTATCCAACATTATTGTTTTTCGAACCCTACATTCTACATAAAAGGAAAATCAAAATTTGTGTAGGACAAGTAGTTGGCAAAATAACATAACAATTTGAACGGTGCATTGCAAGCCTGACTAGTCCATGTATCCAAATTAATTTGAGATGTTCGAATTGATCATTCGGTCCGTAAGGCTACGACAAAGTATATTGGCTTTCGTTTCTGAATTCTACCGAAAAATTGTTATGGATCGACAAAAGAAAAAGATTGTATTTATAAATGTTTAATTTCATATGCTAATTGGATCTCAGAGTAAGTGTTGTAGTATTTTCATTACAACTCTTTGAACAGCATGGATTATCAAATTGTTGCTGCTCTACCTTTTGCTTATTGGACTTCGGTAAGTACGACAATGCGTAAGGAAGACTATCTATCTATGACATTCAATTAAGAAATAGCAACAAGCATTTAATGTAATTAACATGACTGAATGATTCATGCATCTTTCTTAGCTTCTAGTCTAATTGAATGCAACTCATTTGTTGAATCTATGATTTTTCCCCCTCCAAAATTGATAATTCATTCTGCTTCAAAGATAGTTTCTGCCATTAAATAGGTCTAAACTCTCTGTTCCATTTAAGTTCAAACTTGATTTGGACTTCTGAATCATTTGGTGGTGTTTCGGTCCCGAAACCTTAGTTAAAATGCACTTGAACTTGAATAAAAAGAAGAAGTGGACAATATCATAATCTCTAGCAACTCTATATAATAGTATCACTCTTGTAACTAATTATATAACTCTATCATACATTCTCATGAAACTTTGCCTGAAGTTAAGAACAAAACTAGGAGAAGTTTATCTTTATGTGACTCACACATACTTTGAATCACAGGGATTTGAATCATATCATGGTCACAAGAACATGGATGCATGTGATGGGGAATGGATTACCAGTTAAAATTTTTGGATATAATATCATGAAATTTGGTACAAATGCCCTTCTCGGTGTACCATTATGAACATATCGATGTAACTATATGTAGACAGATATGAAAAAGAAATAAAAAAGAGAACAATTTATATCTATAATGCAGATGAGAGACTAGAAAGCAGTGTGCATTATGATTATTGCAACATATTTAGAGGAAAAGAGAAAGCTTTCATATAATTAATTGCCATGGAAATGTGGAATTACTTGTTTGAATGCCTATTATATCTTGATCTATACACATGCAATAATATGCTTTCATATTAAATACTTTTCAAGAAATTGGCACCTTGAGCTTAATTGTTCAAAGCCTGTATTTATTATCCTTGTTTCCTAATGCTTTAAACTGAAGTACTTGTTGCTGACTTGCAGTGGGCACACTTTCCTCACATTCATTTTGGGCTAACCCTTGATGGTGGTAAGCAAGTAAAGCTGGACGATGCCATAGCAGCAGCACCAGGAGGAGAAAAGGCTCCAGGTTTCTATTAACCATATGTATAAGCTCATCA